GGAATAAACAAGTTCATAGAACTTCAAAACTAACTTAATTTTTCCATAGCTGAACTCGCGCTCAATTCATTAATTTTGAATCAAGTGTGGTTCATTAAGGCTCCACTAAATTCCCCTGTAGTTTTCGCGAAATAGGATTTTCTACCACCAAACTCCCGGTGTTGCACTATTCCGATCTGCGAACTCCCACTGTCGTTGCAGACTAGAACACACCTAGCAGATAAGTCGAATCCCCAAATTATTCGCTCCCTGAGGAGCAACTTCCACCTTTTGCTCGAGGTGATCCCGCAACTTATAATGGGTAATGCTCCTTGGGTCACTTTCTCCGCTGAAAGTGGTACAACTCCCTACCTGAACTCCCATGACTGGGGAGTTTATCCCTCTTTAGACACTGCAACTCCTGAGCAGGTATAATAGGTTGCCCTCTTCTCTCCCCAATTTCATTATACTTCAGGTCATATAAAGGGTTTTTCATAAAGGACTTGACAACTTTTTTCAAAATAAAACGTACACCATTTGAGATATCTCGAAAATTTTATTATTGGATTGAAGTATACTCAAAACATTTATGTATGGAATTCGACCTCGTTCATATCCACCAGAGGCACGTTCGCAGCGATCGATTCGTTGAGCCCAATTTTCAATGACTCGGTCACACATTTCGACTGAAACGGCTAATATATCTCGTCCAGTATTGGCTCTTAGCTCCATTAACGAGCTTGTTGGCATAGACTCATGATTTGATGTAGCCCCACAAAACATCTAGAGGTGTTAAATCACACGATCTTGGCGGCGATTCAACAGGACCATTTCCAGATATAACACGTTCACCGAATTTTGATTTCAATATGTCCATTGTTTTACCCGCTGTGTGACTTGTGGCACCGACTTGTTGAAACCACATATCATAATGTCTAGCCCATCCAATTGAAAAATAACGTTGCAACATGTCTCTGTAGCGGTCTCCGTTTACTGTAACGTGACGGTCATTTTCATCGACGAATGACACCACCGGCATGAAGACCACACCATACAGTTATTTTTTGTGGATGAAGTGGTGTTTTTTGAAGCACATGAGGGTTTTCACCTGGCCAATAACGCATATTCTGCTTTTTATCAAAGCCATTTAACCAAAAATGCGCCTTATCACTGAAGATGATTTTGCGATGAAATTGGTAATTTTCTTGCAACATTTCTAGAGCCCAAATCGAGAACGTACGTCGGTTCATATGATCGAACGGCTTTAGTTCTTGAGTTAACTTGATCTTATAAGGGTGCAGTCCAAGTTCTCTTCGCAAAATTCGCCATAATGTTGTCTGAGCGATGCCCAATTCTTGAGAACGCCGTGGAATCGACGTGTTCTGTTCGTTTGCGACGGACGCATGAACGGCAGCAATATTCTCAGCACTTCAACCAACTTGTTGTCTTACTGGCACGGGAACATCCAGCACCGAATATGTGGACTCAATTTTTTTTACTAGAATATGAATTGCTTGTCTACTGGGACGAGAGTTACGACCAAAAATAGGCGTTAAGGCTATTAAAGTTGCAGTCACCGACTCGGAATTTCGGTAGTACATTTTAATTATTTGTAAGCGTTGTTCGTTCGTGTACTTCACCATGATGAAAATGTTTTCTTTGCTGAATGTTTTGACATTGACAGTTCGGTAATTGATTTAAAGGGGCGTTCACAGTGAAAGTTCAAAGTTGTCAAGTCCGTATTGGAAACTCCGATACAGTTCGGTAATTGATTTAAAGGAGCGTTCACAGTGAAAGTTCAAAGTTGTCAAGTCCTTATTGGAAAACCCGATACCTTTTCACTAGGGTTTCAATGCCATCTGTAGGTATGGAAAGACGCCAACTCCATCAACCCGGCGGATCGTCCATCACGGTCCGATACAGAGGTCAACCACTGAGAGCAATGCTCAGCTTCTGGATATGGAGATGGCGGTAAATTGCTCCCCAATGACCCCCAAAATCATTCTGGAGGTTCGTCAACCCCAAACACATCACCCCGGAGCAGACCAGGCCGGCCGACGATGAACTGGTCGGCAGTTCACTACTGTCAAAGGCTCACAAAATCTCTTCCCAAAATTCACAGGGGACCCCAGACATGATAAATTGGCATAAATGCAGCTTTTGTGATAAGAAATTCTAATCAAGGATGCACAGCCCAACCTATCGAGTACAACAGGGAGTTGGCATAAAGATTACGCTTGCCAACATCGAAGTCAATCTGCAAGCCCAGATACAAGGAGTTCCTTGCTCTAGTCAAAGAGGATGCTCGCAATCTTCAAGGAGCTGTATTTGCCGCCACAGAGGAAGATAGCAGACTTCAACAAGCTAGGCCTCCAGTCAACGATGGGGATTCGGCACCAAAAGGCCAGAACAAGAAGTTCAGTCTCAGGCAGGCTATTGGCTTTGGTTTAAGGAAGGTTCGTGCCATTCTCGGCAATATGGAGACCAAGTCCCAACATCCTGCCTCGGCGAAAGATGTTGCACCACTACGGCAGAATCAAGCTAACGCCTGTAGTGGGTCTTTGTGCATAGTCACTCCTCCTCCCGCCGCAGTTCAGGAAACTTCCCAAAGGCGACACAGCACCACCAGTAAAACACCCTGCTGCAGGGTTATTACTTAAAAACTTATATAATGTTAGAAAATATCAACTTCCTGACTAGATAGCTGTTAGAGTACAAATAGTTCATTCCGCTGTTGCTCGCTGTGAGCATCACCCATAGCGTCATTTATGGAGGAATGAGTCAACGACATGCCAGCGTGCTTTGTTAGTTGCAGAATATCGACATAGTCTGAAGAGTATTTAGGTATCTCTGTGAAGATTTGAAAGAATTAAAATTGGTTGAGTAGCAAGATCGCATCTGGATGATTGTGTGTATTGGTCTGCATGTGCATAAAATCGGTGATATTTGCTATGTGAGAAAATTATTATTGGATATGCTGCGGCCCATTTCACTAGTATCCATCACGATAGAATGACAGCCGATTATCTAGTAATATCTCAAAATTCCCAGTATCGGCACAGGACGCATAATTCTGACGGATCCGTCAACGCCAGGTAGACAGAGCCGTATTTTGTTTTGGTTTTTTGTACGCTACAGATTCATTTTGTTCTTTCTAACAGTTCTTTTATTTAGAATTGCATACAAAAAACAAAGCGCCACAAACAAGTCTTACTAGATTTTTACCCGATTTCATTATTGCCAACGTAGCAGACTAACACAAAAATGTCACTCAGTAGACGTCAAAGCATGATGGATACTCGTGAAATAGGGTATATTAGCTGCGCCAGATGAGTTATTTGTGTTGTCTTTTCTAAAGAGAGGTTATGTTCATAGTTAATAATTTACAATTTTCCCCCGCTTGCGTTGTGCGTATTTAAAGGCACACTGAAAAACAGGAATGACGCATTATACACAAAATATGTTCGCAGTGTCTTACATCTAGGGTGTTTTCTACTTGATCTCGCAAAATAAATTTTAATAAAACTTAAATTACTGGAAATTAAAAATAATGTAAAATGTTCACGTTTCATAAGTATTCCGGTCAGTAGTCTATTTTCTCACCTGCTGGTTTTAATATGCTTCTCCAACCAGGGATTTTCTATTTTTATCTCTTGCCTTTTTGAAATTCAACAAATTTACATATGTAATTTCCCGAATAAATAAGTAAAAGTGCATACCTACAGAAACCAAGGGAATTATCAACACAGATTATTAGCACATAAATCCTCACTATGCACCTATGCAGTGCCGTTTGCTTCCAGCTATAGTTTACAACTTACAGTTTAGACCTCCAATAATGCCATCTCTGAAGCAGATGTTACATCACATCAGAGCCAAACCATGACAGCTCAAGCATCATGACGTTTAGATAACACGTACAGGTACACAACGAGTTCACATCAAGTGAACAATAGCTAATTCCAAGGTGACATCTTTTAGAAAAACCCACATAATGTCAAAAAAACCTTTACAATCTGAAAAACGGCATAATGTCACTTTTCAAGATACATAATACCTCTTCCGATCTGGCAAGGTGAATCACACCTACAAGGTGACTACGCTAAATCCCTCGACCTTCCAAAGTCTGTTGCGCCAATGCGGTTGGCTTTTCTTGGAGCCTGTGTAAGCAAAGGCGTACACGGTTCCCTAATCATTTTTCGAAGAGAGCCGCATGCTTCCACTCTTGATCTTTCCGGGGCCAGATATTTACCGTGGTGATCTGTTACTTGCACGACCACATACACAGTGCTTTCCAAAAAGGTCCTTCCCTATTTATGTTTTCAAAGGCTCACATTAGCAAATTGAAATTCGGAACGATGAAATTGATACATCTATATTTTAGCGTGAAACTCATAGTTGAAAATGTCAAAATAGCGGCGGGAGCCATTTTGGAACATTTTTTCTTCTTGTCATGCTGTCTCTAATTGAAGTTGGTAGGTAATTATAAATCCTTACTCCCTCGTAGTTTGCGGCATTATAAGTGACATATAGCCTTACTAGAGGGATATGCAGATTATTTTTATACCTCCTATTCCTAAGGTGAATGTTATAATTATTTTTGAATTTAATTGTTTTTATAGATGTAAATACTGATTTCATAAATATAGAGACAGACAAGAGTAAGCATGTTGAGGTTCTTAAACACCACCTTACACGATGTTGTGTTTGAGATACCAGCAATAACACCAATAATCTTTTTTTGTGAGATCACGGGGAGAGGCGACATTTCCAGATGCACTACATGGTAGAGCAGAGAAATAATGTCTATGGACTAATTGTGTGGACCTCTTTGACTGACTTTTTTCTCAGAGGGGTCTAGTTTGTGCTGAACATAATCCTTCATGAAATGATAACGGCGGTGCGTGGGAAGTGCAGAGGCAACCTAGTTGGGGCCATTTTTTTACAATGGAAATCTATACATATAAAGGCTTGTTCACTTTCTCCATGCATACTTTGTAAGTATATATTTTATGTTTTCAGATATGGAGCTGCCGGTGGAAATGTGATGAATAGCAGTGACGGTAGTGGGTACGCTAATAGTAGTGCCCTTTCAGCGGCTGCAATGGTAGCGGCAGCTACCGCAACCGCTACCGCAACAGCAAGCGTTGTGGCGCTACAAGACAACGCGGCGCAGTTCAACAATCAGCAATTCAATCAGGTATGTACCGGGTGGTCCATTTATGCAGGATGTCTCCAAAACTTCGTCTTCTTCTTCTTATCCTTCCATATATACGTATCCATTTATGTTTAGGCAAATTACCTCTTCTCCATCCATCTTTTGTGCCGTCGGCCTTATGATCTCGTTCCGCCTGGATTATTCAATAATAATAATAATACTAATAAAAATAATAATAATTATCTATTTTCCTTGGATAAACAGGACAAAGTTTGTATAAGAATTGTCAATAGAGCAACTATATACAGAGGCATAACAAAACGATAAATAAAACAAGATAATAAACAACATTTACTCACTGATAAACTCAGAGACATTATACAAAAATGTATGTATTAAAAACCTTTCAAACTATACTTAAAGTGATTTTGATATGCCATTCCTTGAATATATTTTCTAAGGATGTTAAAGATCTTGGGACCAAGTATATTTGACGAGTTGTTTGCTACTGTAAATTTAGAAAAGTTGGCGTGTATATTATTACTCTGCCTCATGGTAACTGTGTATATGTCTTTGTTGAGAGTAAATTTGGTCTTGTTCTGGAATACGTATAACGCTAACTCGAGTATCGCCACAGCAGGTCGGGTTAGGATTTTATATATTTTTTTAAATTTCTTTACAATTGTGTTACTTATCCATTCCCAGTGATCTAACAATTCGCTTTTGAGCAATAAAATCTATCTGAGCCTGGACTCCATAAGACCGTAGAATATTCCGAGCAGCTGACTTTCAGAGAGAACCAAACATTTTTAAAACAATTAAGAGAGAGTTAAGTTATGAAACCAGGAAGTTGCATTGTACTCTGAAATTTAAATTATCATCTAGAAATATTCCAAGAAACTTAACATCGATTGTGAAGTTCATTGATGCATTGATTACGACAAAAAACTTATTCATGCGAGACATATCAGTGAAGGAAAAATTTGGAATTACATTTCTGAAACATAAATGGTTTTAGAATTCAATAAAAAAAACACCCAATACATACACACAGACCACGAATATAAAAAGAAAACACATTGTCAAAAACACATGATTGTAAAAAATGACAAAATACAACGAATTAAAACACTAGCGGTTAAAATGTGAAGAAGAATAATAGAATATAAATAACTGACTTGATAACCAAATTAAAACTGATAAAAACTAGATAAAATGAAATAAAATAAAATTAAACTGATAGCGAAGATTCCTGTGCATTTGAGAGCATAAATTGTCCTCGTAGAGATATTCATTGATGGAATAGTAGACTTTTGTTTTTTTATCAAATATACCTAATGATAAACTTGTTAGTCTCTGTGGCAGTCTATTGAATCCATTATTCCCATGTGCTTGGAGCTTTTCTTTGTAGAGGATGACCTGTGAGCCGGTATCATTAAAACTGACGAATTTTTGGTATTACAAATGTTACAGTCGTTTTAACAGCTCATAGTCATCATACTTAGATTTAACATACACTAGTAACATATAAATACAGGGCAGTGTGTTTGTCATCATTTTAGGGCTACCAACAGCGTCTGATGCCCATGGGCGGGATGAACGGTTTGAGTCCGATGCAAAGCATGCAGCAGATGCAGTTAGGCGGCATGCATGCACTGCCTAATATGGGTCCTAAGGGGATGCAAACGGGAGCACCAGGACCAGCGGCCCCGAACTCAATGTATCCCAGACGGATGGCACCATATCCTTCGCCGACCATGCACATGACGCAGAAAAGAGGGAATCAAGTAAGAATTTCTACTAATTCCTTGATTCGGACAAGTAAAAACTGATAAGGCAGTCGGAAGGACCCGTGTCTGATCAAATTTATATTACGAGTATTTCGAGAAAAATGAAAAAGATTGCTGAAACATGCTTTGTGGTATATGAAAAAGTGACTGAGGTATGGATGAGTACGAAATTCCTTGATTTTTATTTATTAATAGTTGTGTTCATATTTTGATAAAAGCACTCAGCCATTTGAGCTACTAAGTTTTTTAAACGTAAAATGTAAAATAAATACACTGTAATGGCTCTATTATAAATATTGTATATTTTTGATGTATACAAGGAGTTTCAAATCCGATCCTGACCATTGGAATCTTGAAAAAGGAAAGAGATACGAGGTCGCTTAAATGGGGACAAAGTAGCGTAATTAGGTAATCAACAAAATGCTGCTTAGAAATTTACGTAAGTACTTCCGGAGAGAGTCAGAAAAAAGAATTTTCCCAAAATCGTTTTAATTTTTTCCTGGCTTTATTTGTAACGGGATTTTTAAATAAATTGCTCGTTAACATTGCCACTTTTTCTCTTCTACAAGATGGAATAATTAGAATTTTAATATGACGTTTTGTCTCTTGTCCTCAAGCATTAACTTAATTTTTTCTTATGGACTACATATTAGATTTTTGCGCAGATGAATAGTTTTCAATTATGATTTCAAAAATATATAATATATCATGCATTGACAAACCTTAGTTATTCCAGAAAAACCAAACCCGACCTCAAATTGAACATAGCAACAGAGTTTGGAAGACTGAACAGAGGAGGAATAAACCGAGCAGTTAACAATGCACAGAGAAGAGTCAGGCTTTGCCTACAAAATAACGAATATTTTGAACATCTCCTATGATTTACCTGTGCTTATTCATGAGTATAATTGTTATAACCATCAATAAAATTTCCATTTTGTGTTCAGATTTTACCATACCTTCTTGTTTCCCTATAATTTACATGCAACAACAATTTCATGGCCATCCAAAGAAATACATCACTGAATTTAGAACTCAAAAGTCCATTTAAATGTGCAATATTTCAATATAGGATCCATATGATAAAACAAAGTTGGTGTACTAGTTTTCTGGGAATGTGCCGGATTCGTAAGATATCTAGAAGAGACGCGAAAGAACTCCGTGGCACACTTCTTCAATACAACGGCATGAATCAAGTCCAGACCAGAAACTTTGTTTGAGTCAGTTACAATCGTTCCATCCTGATGCTTAAGCGGTGTACTTTCTGAGGAGTTCTTTTCAAACTGCTTGACCAGCGTCCAAAAATACCGACTGCCATTGCGCTGCGACATTATGAAATAAGACACCTGTTACCAGAATCGAATATTTTCTACGCCATGTGTAAATTTCATGTTTTCGTTTCATAGGTATACCAGAACTCGTGTCCACCGATAAACCCCAGTATGAACCCCCAAATGGGCAACTTTAACCCCAATGGGCAACCGTACCCTCAATACGCCGCTAGGCAGCCTACGTTTCAGCAATACCCAACTCAACAGACGCTTGGACCTACAGGAAACTTCTCTCCTGGGAGTAATATGATTCCCGTAGGAAGTCCACGGCAACTGAGACAAGCCACACCGCCATATACGAATCAAGGGCAGTATTTCTCTAATGGTTCTATGAATCATTTTAATAATAACTCAGGTAAGCCTAGATAATTAATAATTTTTTTATTTCTTGCGGTTAAAAAGCATCCGAAATTCAATTTTTATCCGATTGTCTCAGAAGACAAGATGTGTTTTTTCACGCATGAGTAGGTATCCAAAATTATATTTCACGAGCTACAGGCTAAACGGCTTGACTGATTTTGAAATATGAAGTTTCCTTGAATCATTTTAGGAGTGCGAGTAACACGAGCTATATTAAAATTTTATAAAAACAAAATGGCGGATTAGAATAGAAAAATCAACCCTGAAATTCCTTTTTTCACAGGCTACAGCGTCAACGGTTTGATGGATATTTATCTTGACAGTACGAGTGACAGTGGGTATATTAAGATTTTATAAAAACAGAATGGCGAATTTTTATAAATAAATAACCTTGAAGTTCATATTTCACAGGCTACATCTTCAACGGTTTCATCGATTTTGACATATGAGGTGTTATTTTATTTGTCCTAGAAGTGTGAGTGACGTTCTATTTATTAAATTTTACGAAAAAATGGCGGATTCCAATGGAAAAGCCCAACCTTGAAGTTCGACAATTGTATCGTGAAAAATAGTGTAATATTTTTATGATACTATACTTTGTGTACTACACGGATATTATACGTTGTTAGCGAATGATTTTTTTTAGGTCAGTACCAGATAAATCAACCAATAGGAAATGGCCAATACGGAACGACGTCATCGACGGGGCAATTCCAACAGGACGTAGCAATGCGCAACAACATGACATACCAACATAGTCCAATCCCGGGAAATCCAACGCCGCCACTTACTCCAGCAAGCAGTATGCCACCATACATTAGCCCCAATCCCGATGTTAAACCCAATTTTAGCGATATCAAGCCTCAGATGCCATCGCAAAGTAAGTGATTGCAGGTTACTGGTAAAATTATTGTTTACATTTCTGTTACTGGAATGCTAATTCTTGAAAACGAGGGTGTAGAATAACCAGTTGAATGTGTCCTTGAGTCTGTTTTGACGTTTGAGTACGCATCATGCCAAATCATATCGTGGATCCAAATGCGGTATTGTCATGTATGTCAGACAATATGAAGTCCTGCATTGCCGGATGTTGCGTTAAGGTTGAAATTCTGGATTTTTTCAATCATCCCAAAAAACTTGGCGTTTTTACAAAATAGAGGGAAATTTTACTGTAATTGTCCATGAATGACGTGCTAGGTAGCTCTTTATACCGTTTAGAAAAGTTCTTGTTATCCGAAAACCGAGGACAAGGTCAAGACACTTAATAGGTACAGTGTTGCCGTTACCTAAGACCATATGGGCGCATGGGAGCACAATCTTTGCTTAATTTGTGTGTCATTTGGTGGCAGCGTTGCCAGACGTACGATAATTATCGTTTCTGTAGGATAATTTCAAGTACTAAACGATGTACGATAGTATGTGTAGGATAATAGCTGAATGTACGATAATTTTGCGAATGAGCTTTTTTACTTACAGAAGTTGAATCAATCTAACAACCACGTTCAATTAACACCAGCAAGCAGCTGTCAGTGTTGCCGCTTGGTAGACAAGCGCGCGTACCCTACTCTGTATAATGGGTTGCCTAGCATTATGCGAACTATCTCAGCAAACATCAATGGGAAAAATTGCCGTCAATCAGTTCTCACGTTCTATGTATTGACATGACGCGCATATTTTTATTTACCCATGTGCATTAAATGAAATGAATGCGACGTCTTCCGTTTTTATGACTTTTGAAACATAAAAATCAAAAGATGGATATCAGTTATTTTCGATATTTAACCGGTTTCAATTCAATAACGAGAATATGCCGGATTCCGAATCAAGTTGCCCTGGAAGAGAGAAGCACAACAAAAGATGCGATACTCTCGAATACAGAAAACAAAAAAAAGGAGCGGAATCTTTGAAGAAAGCCAAACATAGACAGAAAGCTTATAGGAAAGAGTGGGAAGCAAGAGAGCTCCCCCCCTCCCTGCGACGAATCTGGCAATGCTGTTTGGTGGCGCCAACGATTTGCCTGGGAAGGAATTATAACAGAAAGTCGCGTTCTCCAGGCCAGTTGAAATTGATATTGTGATACTTATTTAAGAAATCGGACAGCAACCAGATTTCTCATTTTATATACTATTTCAGGCAATATTTTAGATATTATGTTGTCTGGAATATCTCCCTGCTAAATGTTGTGCAACAATATGCAAGAAGAAACTTCAAATAGAAAATGAATAAAGAACATCTATTAAATCCCTACTACTCTAACATTGTGTATTCACACCTCAAATAAAATCTTATCCACTGGCTTACAAGTAGTATGTAGTATGATTAGAGTTTTATTTTTAATACAAAATCACATGAGACATTGTTCTCAATTATAAATAAGAATTGTATTGCATGAAAATATCGGTGATGTGTCCCAAATCCGTCCTGCTGAATACTGCCTTTATCTCCAGAACTCATCAGGTATCTTCATTCAATTGCCTGGTACTCTGAAACAATACAAAAACTATGTAATTTCTGTAGTCTTTATAAATGTGTTTGCACATATCGATGTCTAAAATTTGTTGCTTTAAGTGGTAAAAATATTGCTTTACATGTTTCACACAACTTCTGTATTTAGCCAACGTCACTAAAGGTTTTAGGATTTTCGTCAAAAAAAAAATGTGTTAGATGTTTCAACTTGATACATTGGCACCAAAAACAAGGATTATTCGCAGACTGATGCCATACAAAATAGATGTTTGTTATACCATTAAAAAAACAACTACATGCCTACCTGTCAGTATTGCTTTAACACAGCACCATATGACTGTCACTTCTCCATATCCAGCAATAGTCACTTATGCTGTTGCAGCTTCTGATAATACCTGAAAGCATCAGCATGGTGATGCTGGGCTGACTTGTTGCTCAGCGGGGTAGAGCAAGGGTCTTTTGCCTAAAAATTATTGGAGACTGAAAAGAGATCGTCTTGGATATTAGCTTCTTAGTGGTGATGTATAGATATCAACCTTATGAGGGTAAACGATGAGCAAAACATAAAATGACAAATGCATTATATATCAAGATACAAAAACCAAAGGCCACAGAACCCCAGATCACTCCGAGATTCCCGAACAGATGAGATTATGTTTATAATTTTAAAACAACTTATACGCTGATATCAATCAAGAGCGGCGCAAACGTCACTTGTCTCAAGTGGGTTAAAACTGCAGCCGGCCTTGATCCATTTTTATTTTTTTTTATGTTCTGTGGTATAAAAGTCAAAGCACTAACCACAGTCGATATCATTACAGATGTGAAACTCTATCATGTGGTTCGGCTTGCCCGGTTACCCGGTTACCCGCTTTAGGATGAGTTGATAATGATTTTGTAGAATTTGGTTGATATTTACATGTGTGGTCTTTGCCAATATTTCATGTCTGTGTTGGAGCGAATAGAAAGAGCAAGTGCAGTAGATTGAGCATACGTATCAAATGTTGACATTCAATTAGGAAGCATCTTGTATAATAGTCACACATTTTCTTACTTTTCAGAAGATGACGAGTTAAGGTTAACATTTCCTGTTCGTGATGGTATTATCTTACCACCGTTCCGGCTAGAACACAACCTTGCCGTCAGCAATCATGTGTTCCAACTGAAACCTACTGTTCATCAAACACTTATGTGGAGGCAAGACTTGGAACTGCAACTCAAATGTTTCCACCATGAAGATAGGCAGATGAACACGAATTGGCCTGCATCGGTAAGTGAAGGAACTCTCAACTTACATAAGTAGTGTAATTCCCTGCAGAACCAGTGTAATTGTGTCTCGTTTAATAGTTGCCCATTCCAAGTCAGTACTAAAGGGATTTGTAATGGTAGCGCCTATGACATCACTATCTTGTGCAGACCAGAGACACTTTTTCCCGATTTCTCCTAAATCTTAAAGAAGGAATTTGGCAAAATTAGAAAAATATAGAGTACGAACGGGTACGTTGACTAGCACAGCTGAAGCTAAAGTGTCATATGGAATTTTAGTAATTATAATAGTGATATAACTACTTAAGATGCAAGAAAGTGCCCACGCTGTCAAGAAAAAGTGCGTAAATAGTGCAAAAGTTTACATCAGTAGAAAACGCGGTCGAGACACTTGATCCTGAGAACGAAACCTATGATCCGGATCATCGATGACCAATTAGAAAGCCTTTTTGTAAGTCCTCATCGAAAATGGCCAATCGGAAACATGTAGCATAGACTGACTTTGTAGCTGATAGAACCAAATTTAAAACAAACACTGAGAAAATTTAAAAAAGGATATATCGGTTGTAAATTCAGTATCGACTTCAATAAACTTATTAATTATCTTCTATTGTCACACTTTTTGCTGCTGTATCTAATCCTCGTGTGGCCCTTCAAGGTTAATAGAGAAGTTTGGCCAATTTTACATGCACTTTCATGAAAACACTTTCTAAGTGGTCATTGTTGATCCGGAGGTTTTGATCTCAAGAACGACTGATAAAATGTTTTTCTCGCTAAACCACGTGATTTATAAAAAAAATCTTGATATAATATGGGGATTAGATGCCCTTCTTACGCAAATCGTATATTTTTTCACTAGTTTTGGAGATAGTTTATGAAAAATCGAGTATATTTATTAGATCCATTACTAGAAAGATGACTTCTCATTTGTTCATTTTCATCAGGATCCAGTATTTTGGTCTCCTGTTGTTAAAATCGGGCCTAAGTCAATTAGAAAGCAAATCAATGCTTTTTATGGGGTTAGAAAAACAAAAATTGGTATTTCGTCCAAGGTTGATAATGATAGCCAATAATTATCGCCTAGAATTTCAAAAATACCAAATCTTCTAAAACGTGATAATTATGGTATACGACTTTTCTCATCAATTTCAAGAATACGGCCCCAGGGTCTATAAGTAGTTGCTTCAGATACTTAGATTAAACTTACTTCATTTCGTCTGTTTTTCTTTCAGGTCCAAGTGTCGGTGAATGCGACGCCACTTATAATAGATAGGGGAGAAAATAAGACATCACACAAGCCATTATATCTAAAAGATGTATGTCAGCCTGGAAGAAATACTATTCAGATTACAGTTTCTGCATGCTGTTGTGTAAGTTTTGTTTGATTCTCCCACTTCCAGTAGTTCTGCACAACCTCTATTTAAACACATCAGGGTGTCTCAGAAGCCGACGTCAAACCGGAAACGGGGGATAGGCCAGGTCATAATAGTTATGAGAAAAATATAAAAAAATCTAGTCGTGTGCTTTTCAAATTATAGGCGTTAAAAAAACTAAAAAATCTACAGCCTGTGATCTTTTAGCTTCCATTACTACAAATTTCATTTTTTTTTTCTTAGACGGAATGACAGCAAGATAGATAGTAAAGCCAATTTTATTAATGCATGTATTTATTAAATTCACAATAAATGTTCAAACCGCCTTCTTGCAGCAGCAATGCCAGATTGATATCTTCTTAAAAATGATTTTATTATCAGACGGAGGAATCTTCAGTTATTAACAAATTCACCTGTTTCCGCTATTTTGTCCCTTAGCACAGCTAAAATTTCGACTGGCTTTGAGTGAACTTTTTCTCTTGCCGTTACCCCGTAAAAAAATCCAGTGGATTTAAGTCAGCTGAACGGGCCACGAAATTGTACCACACCGCCCTATCCATCTACTGGGTATTCCGCATCAAGATATTCTCTAACTGAACGGCCCTACTGCGCCGGGCAGCCGTCTTGCTGATACAATATGTCTCTGTAAATGCTTAGTGGCACGTTTTCCAATAAATTTGGTCAATTATTTTGTGAAAAGTCTAAATAAATTTTGCCATTCAAGAGCTTTGGCAGCTTAAAGGGTACAATGATTGTCCCATTTAGAATCCCGGACCAGATGTTTACCTTAAAACGATACTATGATCTATACTGTCTCATCAAATGTGGATTTTCTACATGCCGCTCGGGTAGCTTGTAACCATCTTTTTCAAATGTCGACTCATCAGCCCATCAAATTTTCTCTAAAAATCGCGGATCTTGTAACGTCGTTTGACAAAATTCAACTATTGGAAGATAATCTCGGGGTTGTAGAGATTGTACTCGCTGCAGGTGGTACGGGTGGAGCTCGTTCTTTCGCAAGATTCGGTGAACTGTACTTTTGGGCGCTCCCGCGCTTACTTCTATTTGACGTACTCGAAAGGAAAGGAAATCATTCTTTCACCATGTGCTTGATTTTGGAATCGTCCCTCTGAGAATAAAGCACTAGCGTTGCATCTACATTCCCCATAAATGAGGTAGGTGCATGTTGACGTATCCATGAACGGTGTACACAGACATGGTGGTACTACACAAACATGAATTAATAAAAGTGGCGTTACTATCGGTCTTGCTGTCACTACGTTGAATGACATTGTCCATCACTCCGTCTAAGTAAAAATGGAAATTTGTATTAATGGGAACTAAAAGATCATCACAGGGTGTAGATTTTTCCGATTTTTTTATGGCCTATAATTTGAAAAGTACACGACTTAGATGTTTCTGATAACTATTATGAATTGGCTCCGTTTCCGGCTCTACGTCGATTCCTGGGATATCTTGTGGTATATCATTCACCAAGAAGTGTCGATTGCATACTCACATATGTTTATTTTTTTAGTCACACCTGTTTGTCTTGCAACTAGTCCACAGACCGTCAGTTCGGTCTGTTCTGCAAGGCTTGCTGCGGAAACGACTTCTCACGGCAGAACACTGTATCGCCAAAATCAAAAGAAATTTTGCCAACGCTGGTGGTACAGCACCAAACGTTGATAGGGATAGGGATGCTGTCGAACAAACGGCTCTCAAGGTAAGTCCTCTTCCCAATATCCACCAAGAAAAAATTCAAGAGATGTTCTAGTATGTCAGCGCCGAAATACACGAGATATCCAAACGTCTAATAGATTTTACATTTGTTTGTTTCAGGTGTCATTGAAATGTCCTATTACGTTTAAAAAGATAACCCTGCCAGCAAGAGGACATGAATGTAAACACATACAGTGCTTCGATCTAGAATCTTACCTGCAACTCAACTGTGAGCGAGGGTCGTGGAGGTGTCCTGTATGCAAGTAAGTGCAGCAATACTGCTGGTTGTCTATTCTACTACAAAAAGAACAAAAATTGATTCATTTATGAGCGAGTGAGAGCAGAAGGTACCCGTGCAGTGTTGCCAAGTTGCCAGAAAGTATTCAGTGGTTTCTATACTTCTAGTGAGCTGAATGAAGTACCAGTAACGGTAGTTGTATTATTGATATGTATTCCCTACATTCGTTTGTTCAAAATATACATAACTACAAACACTACTAGAAAATGGAGGACTAAGCAAGCATTATAACGACCTCATGTGCTAAAATATGAATATCAACGACTTTCATAATCCGCCAAGAACAAGTGAAAAAATAGGATTTGCAGATGACACCACCATCATCCATAAAGCCAGAGCTTGGACATCATTAAAAGGAGAGATTGAAAAAGTACTACAGTTAACAGACTGGTTCGGTAATCAATTATTAACCAACCTATTTTGTTCCATTTACATCTTACACAAATAATTTACTGCTACATAATCAGCTACATATAAAGAAAATAAATCTCCAAAATGCATATACAGGGTGTCCTAGATAAGGATCCTATGCGTGAGAATCTCAATACCTGTGGGAGAAAGCACTTAGGTTAAATTGGGAAAATGCTGCGTTCTTTAGAGCATATGTACATGCAGTTGAGAATATTGTACAAATTTCATAGCGTACTGAGGTATTTGGGAGAAACTAAAACTTGGACAAATCGTTTGCATTTTTTCTAACTTGATTTTAAGAAATATCAAAAAACTAATGGATCTTTTTCATTGGCTATTTTTAGGCACTACATGATGATGTTTTTAAATTTTGTGCCCTGACGTTTCAATTTTGAGAAACCATCATCAACTTTATTTTTTATATGCTCTGGAAAAAAGTACACTCTGTGTCTGGTAGCATCTTTTTCTAGGGATTCAACGATGTATCACGTGTTATATTTGTCTTCTTATTTAGTTCTTATAAAAATGCATTTGTTTATGTTATTTAGTAGACGATGTTTGATATAAGATTATGAGAGTACTGAAAGATGCATATTGCACAATGATGTGATGGGGTAAAATTTTAAAATATGATGCTTAATCCAGTGATATTCAGAATAACATACATTTTTAACATTATTTTTATTTTAATAAAACCCCCAACAAAAAAGTCCAGAGGAGTTAAATCTGGGTACGTGCTGGCCAGGACACTTCTCTGGAGGTTCCAATCCGCCCTTCTGGGAAATCGCTTAGAAAGATATTCTCGAACTTGCATAAAATTATTTGCAGGAGCACCATCTTGTTGAAACCAACAGCTATTAACCTGTAAATTATCCAGGGAGTCTTCTAAATCATGTTGCAACAATTGAAGGTACCGTTCTGTAAGTAAAGTGTTGTGGTAAATGAATGGATCTAATATGTTGGTCCCTAGAATTCCACATAACATATTAAACCCAAAACTTTCTTGATCTGGATACTTTTTTGCCCGAAGACTTTCTTGGTTCAATAATGAGTGTTGCGCCGATTGAATATCTTATTATTAGTGGTCATACTCTCGCCGGATCACATTATTTTTGACGGGAAATTAAAATCTTCGCACGTTCGTGTGAACTCACAAAAATGCTGTGGCTGTGGCTACTGTAGTACGCCAGCATGCCGAACTTTTCCTCATTGTTAAAATGACCGCCTGGCATCTTTGACGATGATAAACCAATATTTACGTCAAGTCAAATCAGAAAAAACGTATTTTTCGGGCACAAAATTTAAAAACACGATCACTTATTGCCTAAACAGTGCCAATAGAAAGTTGCATTAGTTTTTTGATATTCCTTAAAGTCAGAAAAAATTTTTAAGTCTTTCCCGAATATCACAGTAAGCTATGACATGTTTACAAGTTTCTCAACGGCATGTTAATACGCCCCAAAGAACACAACTTCAACCTAAGATAATCTACTACAGGTAGTGAGACCCCTATCTTGGATACCCTGTATTTGTATGTGCGTTTTATTGCAAATCAAATAACGACAAAAATTAAATAAACAAATACAAATTAAAATAGACGAACTTTTCGGCTTTTAGCCACACTGAATTGTTTCAAGATTATTTCACAACTAACACCAGCCGAAATAGACAACCTTGTATGAATACTTAATACGATTAAATTATAAAAAAAGTAGTTTGTATTTGAAAAATTGACTTTTTGGGCTCTTTAAAAAATAGTTTTCATTCTCTTTTTTGACCTCTCTGTACTTTGTTTTCCAAATCTACAATCAAATTTAGTCCTCCTCATTCAAGAAAACCATTACAAAACGCATGGATAAGCAAAAATACTAGAAAAAATTGTTATAATACGAGTGTATTGGTCTGCACTTGTAATTTTAGTTTGAATAATCTAAAAGACAGATGGGGGATAGGATTATATACGTCACATGTATTTATAATGTCGCGTAGAATCTTAAAATTGAATAATATACACTATGCGGGATGTAGCATTCACAATAAGCAAGTATTTATTCATTAAGTTGGGTTCATCACATTGACTTGCTTCCTGTAAAACTAAGCAAGTCCCTTTTTATTTCGCTGAAATTAAAATCACAGGTCAGCCTACAAGTATTGAAAAGTGGCTGCTTTGACTTATTTCATTCACAGCTTAGCTATAGTATAACATTGTGGGTAATTTTAATAAGTACTGTACTTATTATTCAGAAGAAAGCTATTAGAACAATGATCGGTTTAGGATATTACAATTCTTGTAAAGATCACTTAAAAAATCTCGAAATAATGCCTGTTCCAACATTATTTATATATGCCACTTAAATAGACATACATAAAAATATAAATAACTAGGTTACAATCTCTAACTTCCACAGATACCAAACTGGATCATCTGATGACTTAAGAGCACCCAAATTCTCACTATCGATATCAAAACAGAATTTCCCACGTTTAGATCTGTACAATTATCTACCAACAAGTATTTTTCAACTTAATACAGTTCAGTTTAAACATATTTTAAAGAAGTTTATGACTGAACATTGTTTTTATTCCATAAGTGAATATTTTAGTTCAGGATTTTAACCAGAGAAGGATGCGTACCGTCGAATGTTTATACCTAATGTATTTCTATGTTGTTACTTCTACCTCTACGTTTTTTCTGTGATCGTTTCTATATAAACGCCACTTTGTTAAATTGTAAGATTTTTATGACATGTCTATCTACTTCCGGTACAACCAGCAGCCCCATCAGCCTCAACTTTTCGAGTAATCGATCGCTGCAATTCTATGTGGGGCACCTTGTATGCTTTAATAGAGATATTATGTACATATAGCTGTCGAAATTACGATTTATATTAAAATGCACGCAGTCCCACATGGTTTGCGGGGTATTACTTTGCCAAAAGCTGACGTTCGTGAGTTTTGCGGTTAAATCGTACATTTATTGTAGATTCTCGTTATTGTTGCAGCACTGTATAGTGTTTTCTAAAAATACAAGAATCATTTCTTTTTTTCAGTAAACCTGCTCAACTTGAAGGGCTTGAAGTTGATCAGTACATGTGGGGTATTTTGAACACCTTGAGTACGTCAGAAGTTGATGAAGTAACAATAGATAGCTCGGCAAACTGGAAGGCTGCAAAAGGAAACACATCTGGTATAAAGGTGAGAATAATTTAACTTGTAATAGAAAATATCGAAAGATGCTATTGTCACAATTAGCTGAAAATTAAACGAGAACCTCAATCAGATAGGCCAATCTTCAGAGAAATGGCAAGAAGGAAATTGTCTGGAATCTGTAGCCATCCCTTGTGTGATGTTAGCGATTACTCGCAGGTATCCAAGAAAATGGTACTCAAAAAGTTTCGTAATTCCGGAGATGACGAAAAAAACGTTATTTATTTTTTAGCCATTCGCAAAGAGTCCCTTCCCTTTACATGACACTTCTGTCGAAGATTAATATAATTTAAATGCAAGATGTGTGCGTCGCCTTGGATATTCTCAGAAGATCTAGTTTGTGCTGAACAAATCCCTTCAAGTACTAATACATACCCCCACCGAGCGGGGCCGTGGCAAATGCTTATACCGGAAGTTGTTGTATTCAGTATACAACTTCTTCCCGTTCAAGTGATTGTACACGCATTAAGAAGTACCTCAGTACCGATTGCCGGGTGGTGGTACAAGTCCGCCAACGGGCCATTCTAGGTCTGTTTAATATCATTAACACTCAAAAAGAAGGTTGTAGACGAGGACCAGTCGACCGAGGCAGTACCATCCGCCAGCTTTTCCCAACGTGTCTTATAAATGTCTGCATGTTTCCACATCTAAGCTACGCAGTCGGTTATCTTCCCCAACAAAGAAATTAATTATGGTGGATCTTCGAGTACTAAGAATTCCGGACGTAAACTCACTGCACTCTCGGAATGCCCTGGGTAACTCAGACCACGGTGCTGTGGAGATGAGGTTTCGACCAGAACCCGCTGGGCAGCAGAAACTCGCCCAGGCCGCAAAATTTGGCATTACGTATATGCTGACTGGGAGCGGATCATATACTTTATCTCTGCCTTTCCTTGGAGAGATGTTTGTTTCGCTGACGCGGATGCGTCGGCAGTCTGTTCTTCGATAACCGAAATCATCCACGTCTGGATGGAGGAATACATCCCTCATAAAGTGAAAGTGCCTAAACCAGGGTCCAAAGTTCAACAAATCGTGTGACACCGCTTACCAGCAGAAGATCAAGTCACACAGAACCTTTTTACAGAACCCCACTGTCGAGAACAGACAAGCCGATGTAGAGTCCAGAAACAAATATAACGAAGCGGTTCGCAATGACAAAAACAATCTCGATATAAAAGGTAAGCTCAGGGTAATATCGCAGCGCAGTGGCAGTCGGTATTTCTGCAGGCTGGCCAAGCAGATTGAAAGGAACTTCTGACAGAGTAGCCTTCAACCACTTACGTGTCAGCAAGGGAAGATTCTAACCAACTCAAAGGCTAAGACGGAAATGCTTGCCAAGATCTTTGCTGACAACTCCACCTTGGACGTCCCCCCAACGCTCAAGTGCCGTCGATTTAAAGGGTTCCCTACACTATGCGGGAAGTAACATTCAGGCATAAGACCATAAGACGGATGCTCTTGTCGGTTGACGTCATCAAAGCTTCTGGTCCGAACTGGATTCCTGCCATTGTACTGAAGAGAAACCGACCCTTACAACTACAGGCTTATAGCTCTGCTTTCTGTTATAAGTAAGATGATGGAGAGGTGCATAAGTCGCGAGCTTCTGGAGTACCTTGAACGTCACGGCTTGCTTAGCGACAGGCAGTAAGGTTTACGGCACCAGCGATCCATAGGGGACCTCCTAGCTTACGTCACGCAATTGTGGTGAGGCTGATGTCATTGCTCTTGATGACACGAAAGCGTGCGATCAGCTGTGGCACGCTGCCCTCTTATGCAAACGTCCATCCTAAGGCATCCCAGAGAAGCTTTGCCGATGAGTGGCTGACTTTCTCTCTGGCCCAAGATATTCGTCGTAATTGACGGGTTCTCCTCTTCATCCCGCGTCGTCAATGCGGGAGTACCCCAGGGATCGGTCTTGGCTCAGACACTGTTCCTTTTACAGATCAACCACCTTCTGTCCTGTATGATCAAACCAATCCACAGCTTTGTTGATGACAGCACTTTACATGCAGGAATTCATAGCGACAAGCCGATCTCTGCCGCTGATCTGGAAGAAAGAAGACTACCGACGACTTCCTCTCTGACGAGCGACCTGAAGGTTATCACTGCTTGGGGACGCAACAGTCTTGTACAATTTAATGCTTTCAAAACGCAGTACTGTACCTTGACGAACAAAACGCGTCCTAGCACTCATCCGGTTTCAATGGATGGCCGAGTCCTACCAAAGAGCCGTTCTGGCACGAACACGTTTCGTCAATAGCGCCAGCTGCTGGAAGAAGCTAGTCTATTTGTTAAGTGCTAAGAAGTACTTTTCTCCGCATGACCTACTCACTCTATACAAGGCCCAGATAAGCCCTAGTCTCGAGTATTGCTAACACGTTTGGGGTGCTGCCACCTCGACTACATTATTTTTGCTCGATACTGTCCAGAGGAGGGCTGTCCGACTGATCGATGACTCTTCTCTAACAGACAGTCTCGGGACTCTTTCGCACCGGCGGGCAGTCGACGATCTAGCTTTCTTCTACCGCTGCACAAACGGGCTTGCCTGCCAGACAGACACACCTTACTTTGGCCTCCTATCCTAACCTTGTCGAACTTCGTACATCCAGAACTGGCCGATACGACCGCTCCTTTTTCCGAGGGTGTCGAGATTGTGGAACAATCTACAGGAGGAAGCATTTCCCAGTTTTACTAACCTTAAGCAGTTAAAAAATCGGATTAACAAAATTTCTTTGGGATCCTCAAAGCAGTCGCGGTGTCCTGGCATTTAGGCTTCTACCTGGCGCGACTGCTTCGGTAAAAAAAAAAAATGAGGGCGTTGTGTGGGATGGGCAGAGTTACCCTACTTGACGCCATTTTCTCCAGAAATATTCTTTATTGAGAAACCTTCCAATTCTCATTTGCTTAGTTACCTGAATACCCGACTTTGTTTCCCATTTAGTTGACTTGACAATGAATGTAACCAGTTTTAAAAAAATAGCAATCAACATACCATCTCTATATAGAAGTAACCATGGTGACAGTGCTCTTCAACGTTGTCAGTCCGAAAAGTTTGATTATCGCAATCCTTGACATTATTCGTTATTTTTGATTTGAAGTTGATATAAAATACGTTTTCATAATCTTCAAACATAGAACGCAGTAAATCGCGGATGCAATAAACAGAAAACACAGTCCTTGAAAATATACTTTAACGAAACGAATGTTTAATTTCTTTCTCCCTACTTAAAGCTTTTTTGTGCTTTTTTCACATTATGTCACAGACTGTGTAAATTAAATGATTGTCCTAAGTAATGCTCCATAAGTGGTATCGGTACTGTTGGGCAATAAATGCTTTATTATTCTTATGTCCATTTCAATACTTGGTAGTTGTTAGGTTAGTAGATGGAGCGTCACTTAATAGAGATGGGATGTATTTGTGTTCGTCACATATTAGAATTGGTTACATTCATGTTTTGTTCATCGTACATATGATGGATCAAATATATATTTATTATTTTAGATGGAGGATGAAAGTCCTGAGCCATGTGCCGGTGGCAGCAAACGAAGCAGCACAAGTGGTCCAGGTAGTAACAAACCTATGTCGCCAAATAGCATGCAACTGCCAACAATGGCCAGTTCCTGGGACATGCAAGCTATGTCTCCCTATCTACCCCCTGACATGAATAGCATCGCCAGTGGTAGCATGATGACGGGAGGTGGTGGCACGGGAGGCCCATCTACTTACCAGGGAGAATATATGGCTGGATCGGGACCCCTCTCACATCTTAATGAGTCGGTTAATTCATTGGATCCTCTCAATGCAATGGAGAAAAGCCTAAACGAACAGGTACAATATTCAGAATATTGCAAACTACTCGGACGAATACCGAATTATGAAAAAGCCACACATATAACTCAAAGATTAATATTTTTACAATTAATATCCTATAAGGGGTCAGTCGTGACGAATAAGATTAAATTATTTTCAGCATTTGTTCATAGCAATCAATTCTGTTTTTCCTCATAACCTATATCCGCTTCATATATTTCAATGGACATATTGACTTTTCCACAAGTATCCGTTACTATAGAATTATATAGTAATATTGCAAAATTCACCATATCGACAAATGACACATAATCCTGACGGATCTGTCAACGCCAGGTAGACAAAGCCATATTTTGTTTCTTTTTTTTACGCTACAGATTGATTTTGTACTTGCTAACAACTCTTTTATTTAGAAAAGTTCATTGCATAAAAAAACGCTACAATCAAGTTTTACTAGATTTACGTATGTCAACGTTACAGACTATTACAAAGCTGTCACTTGCTGATTAGCTGTTCACCTCAGTAGACGTCAAAACGTGATGGATACTCGTGAAATAGGGTGATGAATTCTGTCAGTTTTAGATGTTGTTGTATAGAAGACGACAACGCTTTTGTATTCGTTTACATTTTTTGCCGATAGTCATAAAACGGCTATAAAACCGAGGGGCAGAGACGGATCTCAATATTTTTAAACATTTTTTCTTGCAAGTCTGGATGAGATGTGAGATGACTGAATGAAGTTGTTGAAGTAACATTGATTGTTATAGGTTTCAAATCTCTGAAATGTCTGCAGAGAACAACTCTTGCCTCTTTCCATCAATTCTCGATGTACCATCTCTGCTGTGGGAATTTCATTACCTTTATAATGATCATACACTATGTTCCTTTTTTTGGCAGTTGTTGCTGCACTTAAAGGTATAGATGTCCCCTTGTCAATTCTTCTTTTTCTTGGTTTGACACCGTTACGAATAATTTTACAAATTGTAGGATATAGCACGTTCGGTCGGCTGTTTTTTTAATGACACTACTATTGCCGCTATCACCCATTTCACGTAATAGTCCATTATAAACATTAATGCAAATCTGTTGAGCATCAACAGACAGGCACATTCTTTTAGAAATACGACGCTATCCCTGAATATCATTGCTGCCCTCGTTATTACTGTCAGTATCATGTGGGTTGACAGTATCACTGTCCGAAAAGTATTTGCTGCAAGATGGGTTTCTATCATTCATAGCGCCTTTGTACATATAATTTTCGATGTCCGTGGGCCGCTGACCTGCCAGAGCAGATCGTTCCCAAGGGCAGAAAAAATTCGTATCACATAAAATTATTATACAACCTCGATTGTCTACATAGAACTGAAAATATATTCTGAGTACCGCTCTGTTGCATCGCAATGATTCACCTGCGCGTGGGGCTTGGGAGGGGGCTGGAGAGGTTCAGATCTTCATAGCACAGTCACATTATGTGAACTTGTTGCGATGACAGTATCGAAACAATGCGATTTTTTAGATTCGCTACATTCAAACCAATTGTATCGAACTATTAGGGATTTTTAGGCTAAACAATGTAAACGAATACATTATCGTTGTCGTCTAATATACGTTTGTTAACAACCACTTGTAAGGGTATGCTATCTGATCTTGGCGAACCGCTTTTAGATCAAATTACTACAACTGCAACGAGGCAGGTCATAACTTGTTACTCGCGAAATATGCACCTACTATAACCCAAAATTCCAGACGCTTTCTATTTTATTTAAATGTACTTTTAATTCCTGGGCATGTGCTAAGTTGGGTAGATGGTCGATTTACAGGTACCAGGTGAGGAAGGTAAATAAATATAGGACTAACCGTAAATTCTGATGGCTAATGTTTATACATTTTCTGTAAAACAGTGTTATGGTCTGTAAAAAATCTAAGACTTCCATATTCCTTATATTATGTTGAATATTTCATGAGCTTTCTGATCCCTCATAAATAATTCCTAACAGCGGTCAAGTGTGCAGTGTCTACATTGACTGCTGTCTTCTAAAGAAAGAAAGAGTGGCAAATGGTTATCATCTAAAAATACTAGGCACCCAATTTGTTAGAGCGCTCATTAATCTGCTACTGTTCATTAAATGGGTAAGCATTTGAGTTGCAGACCTCTTAACGTTATATTGATAGGTGCGGTGCGTTTTTTAAATTGTGTCATGGTTTTGTGGTATCCAATCGATTAACTAGTTGGTATCAATCAGCCGATTTGGATACGTTTTCAAGAAGTAGTTAATAACAATTAGCGTTTTTGGAAATCGTTTGATGACTAAGAACCGTCAAATCACGAATCACTTGAGGTAAGACAAACAGAGCGAGAGAAATTTACCCGAGCAATACATATTTTTGCTTGTTGGCTTAATCAGGCTCAAAATGATGGCACATGTGCAACTTCTTCGGTGTTTTGTTGTTAAACTTCCACAACAAATTGTGGTGTTCGACGATGAAGTGTTTTACCAAGCAAGATCTCTTGCAATCTACAATTTGTCAATATTTGTCGTAGATGCCACACACACCACATACTCCGCATACGCCGCACACTCCGCACACCCCAGCGGGAACTCCCGGCTCGGCGGGCAGCAACGGAAACAACACCACCTCAGGACCTCCCTCTGTGCCTCCACCGGCCTTATCATCGGGCGGCACTTCGGATGCGCACAACAGATCAACGGGCAGCACAGGTCCCAGTGGTGCCGGGACCTCCAACAACGAATCACTACCGGATATACCGTCCGATCTCAACTTTGATCCAGCGGCGGTTATCGATGGAGAAGGGACCGGTCAGGAGGCGCTTAATGTAAGTCATTTTAATAATACTATTTACTGTTACGTTTTCCTTCTTTTGAGGATATACGAGGTCTGTAAATTAAGTGATGCTACCGATTTTTTATTTTTTTTATTCAAATATAATTACAATTTTGTATTGTCACCCTCAAAATCGCTTGCTTCTGAAGCCACACAGCGCTGGAGACGGTTCTTCTACTCCTGATAGCAGTGCTGGAACTCCAATACTGGAATAGCCTTTAGCTGTTGGTTATACCCGTTTGAATATTTTCGATTTCCCCTTGAGGTGATTTTTCAACTTTGGGAAGAGAAAAAAGTTACAAGAAATAAGGAGGCTGAGGAGCCACATGAATGGTTTTACTGGTCAAACACTCGTTTATTGACATTGCGGTGTGACAAGGAGCATTATCGTTATGCAACACCCAGTTGTGCTTGGTCTGATGAATGGTGGTGTGAGTCAAATTTAAGTCTTTTCCAATCATTCTGACTGTCAAACGATGCACAAGATCCCGAATTCTGTCGGTATTTTCATCGATTCTTGAAGATGAAGGCCTTACGTTTGAAGGTTTATCTTCAACTGATTCTCTGACTTTTTAAAATGCCTTAAACCACTGAAAAATCTGGGCTCTTGATGAAACACTATCTTCTTAGGCTTGCTGAAGTCTGAAGCAAAACCTGAAAGCACACCGTTGCTCGAAATTGATATAATTCATTTTTAGAACACAATAGAAAAAAACTGTATAGCAAAAAAAATCACTTCGGACAACCAAATGACTCGAACGAGTTCTAACTTGTACTGGAGGCAGACCACATGTTCCCCTGTCTCCGCTCCAAACCCGGCGCATCCAATGCTGTCAGATCGAACGCTACGTTGCCAGTTTGATTACTTCATTTACAGACCTCGTATGCGAATAAGACGCCGCCGTGTCTGGGACAGTTGCATATATAGCAAACCAATAATAATTTCACATTTGTTACGCCCTGTATGTGGTGAACGAGAGATAAGATCAGATTGACAACCAACACAGAACCGACACGTAGTTTTCATTTCGTAATTTAGTTATACAGGTACATTCCACTGAATTAAAATGTATGTTCTTACGTAATAAATCCCATTTACGAAAACCATTTTATGTAAAAGGCGATAACCGCAACACTAAGTTAACCTCAACATATTTTAATTATCTTGAACAGTGACGTTTTTTTTGACATTATATAGGCTTTTTGTGACATTATGTAAGTTGTTCTACAAGATGTAAACCTAGAACTAGCTGTCGTTCACTTGATGTGCACTCGTTGTGTACGTGTTGCCTAAAGGTCATGACGGTTCAGCTATCAATGTTTGGATCTGATGTGATGTAACAGCTGCTTCAGAGATGGCATTATTGGAGGTCTAAGCTGTAAAATGTATACTATAGCTAGAAGGAAACAGCAGTGCATAGGTGCATAGTGAAGATTTGTTTGCTAATAACCTGTGTTGATGATGATTCCATTGGTTTCTTGTCCCAAATACACTAGAGATAGAAATTAGTTGCGCTTTCAATTTGTCTTATTCATCTTTGAAATTACATACTGGTATGTAGATTTGCTGAATATTACAACCAACAGGTGAGAAAATCTGCCACAAGCAGGAATATTTATGAAACGTTTAGATGACACGTTCAGCTACAGAACAAGTGAACAGCAGCGAGTTCTAAATTGAAATCTTGTAGAAAAACCTACATAGTGTCACAAAAAACGACATAATGTCACTTTTCAAGATACGTAATACCGCTACCGCTCCTGAGGCAAGTTAAAACACAAGAAGCAGTAAAGTTATTGACGAAATGGAAAGGCAAATGCAGATAATTGTATATTGTCGTTGTTTTGAATGTGTTTAGAATCAGTTTTTACAGACCGACATAAAAACTCTTTTAAATTTAAAAAATTGGTTTCGCTTCCATTCACACCAATCTTTAGTGAATTTGCACAGAGTTACTAGAATTTATTATGAGACTCTTGTACATCAGATCATGGAACTCATATTTGACTATACATATATGCAGAAACCTCCGATATGTAAAAATTGTTTCATCATAACGACGATTTGTGTTTTCCATTTCGCGGCCAAACTAGTTATTTAATAATGTATTATTTACTCCAGCTGCTGCCAGATAGCGTCGATCCTATGGAGCTGTTGTCTTATCTTGACCCGCCTGACTTGAATACGCCCCCATCGAGCGGCAGTAGTTCCGGTCAGAACAACACTTCTACCAACGATGATATCCTGGCCCTATTCGAGTAACCTAAACATCAGCGTCGCCAGGTCATACCAGGTACTACCCCATGTTCCGTGAAAACTACTTCATTGCATTTAGCGATACCTCGGAATAATGGTACCGAGATACCAGTACAGGTGATAGGAGCAGAATGTGTGGTAACAGTGTGAAGTTTATTGTCACCTCAGCAAACGTTTTGCTACATAGCTTAATGCTGCAGGATTCTCGAGTTGGAAATATCGTTAAATAAAGAATGTGCCATATTTTTTATTCATTATAGAAGGCGTATAATATGGTAGCACATGGACACGATGCCATTACGTGAACATGCCCTTGACAATTGCATTCATAATAATTATGCGTATCAAATTACTCTATTACTTAAAGATAGCTAGCGCTTTAATTACTTCACCGCTCCAAAGCGTTAAGAAGCCGATAGGCTAAAACATAAGAATTAATCCCTTAAACCAATTTTAAAACACATTTTCCATCTGATCGTAGATAATGTTTATGTCATTATTATTGGTCCCATACAATGGACCCTTGCAGCCTAGTATCGCGCATATATATGGAGGAAAATATAACAGACACACTAGCAAAAGTAAGTCAGATTATATACAGGGTTCCCAAATGTCAAGCCGGAAGCGGGGGATATGGCAAGTTATAATAGTTATCAGAAAAATATGAAAAAATCTAAGCGATGTACTTTTCAAATTATAAGCTTTAAAAAAAAAGCGGAAAAGTCTGCACCCTGTGATCTTTTAGTTTCCATTTTATTACAAATTTCAACTTTTTCTTATACAGAGTGACGGTCAGTGTTATTCTATGTAGTGACAGCATTACAGATGGTAACGCCACGTTTATTAATTTGTGAATGTATTTACTAGATACACACCAAGTGTTCAAACTGCATTAGTTCAGCAGCAATGCAAGCTTGACATCTTAAAAATGATCTGGTTATCAGACAGGCGAATCTTCCGTTATCAGTAAAAAAATCTAGTGGATTTAAGTCGGGTGAACGGGCTGGCCACGAAATTGTAACAAGCCACCCTATCCATCTGCATCTAACTGAACGGGCATAGTGCCCGGGCAGCCGTCTTGCTTGTAAATCAATTTGGTAAATGATTTTGTAAAAAGTCGTAATAAATGTCGCCATTCAAGAACTCTGGCAGCTCAAAGGATACAGTGATTCTCCCATTTAGAATCCCGGTCCATATCTTTACTTTAAAACTATACTGTCATGTATCTTGTCACATCCAATGTGAATTTTCTACATGCCACTCGTGTAGTGTAGATTCATATTTCCTTAAAAATCGCTGATATTCCCAGTGTCTCTAACATTATTTGACAAAACTCAACTCTAGGAAGATAATCCCGGGATTGGAGAGATTGTACTCGCTGTACGTGGTACGGGAGGAGTTCGTTCTTTCGCAGGATTCGGTGAGCTGTACCTTCGGATACTCCCGTGCTTGCTTCTATTTGACGTATTGAAGTACTCGGGTCTTCCGGACTGCTTATACTACTACGTCCTCTTAAAGAAATGACATTCTTCCTTCACCATGTGCTTGATTTGGGAATCGTCCCTCTGACAGTAAACGGTGCACATTCACAGAAAGTCGATAATCGGGATGACGAGCAGCATTTGGGTACCTCTCACGATAAAGCCTAGCTGCAACACTAGCATTGCATCTACATTCCCCATAAATGAGGTGCATGTTGACGTATGCATGTGCGGTATACACTGACATGGTGGAACTACACAATCATGAATTAATAAAAGTAGCGTTACTATGTCTTGCTGTCACTATGTAGAATGACTCTGTCCATCACTCTGTCTAAAGAAAAAATTGAAATTTGTAGTAATGGGAACAAAAAGATCATCACAGGGTGTAGATTTTTCCGATTTTTTTGAACGTCTATAATTTAAAAGTACACGACTTTGATTCTTCTTTTATATTTTTCTGATAATTATTATGACTTCGCCTATCCACCGTTTCCGGTCTGTCATCGACTTCTGAGACACTGTACATATAAATGCCAAAATAAAATTTGCAGTTACTAAATTTGCGTAATTTTATGGGTTAGTATTTCAACTTTACATAAATACTCATACATTCGTAATTAATGACTTCACTTTCAAACATTGATTCGAGACTTCACTAGTAATCCTCTAGCTCCTAACGACTACAGGACTTGACATCGAGGGACGACAAGCTAAGTAACCCAAACATTACGAGAGAGGTTCCGTCCTATCACCCAAGTGAGGTTGACGGCTAATGAGATATGGGCATTTTATTTCTCATTATACTAGATGGGACACCTTCCGTAGTAAGGCATCAAATTGGAAGAGATTGTCACATATCGGATGACAGTGGCGTAGGCACCCAGAACTATGAGTCATGAAGTAAAAAGAGCAATGTGAAACATTTCGAAAATGAGATTTTAATGTTTTTTGGATGTTATATGACATTACGAAAAAACATGTCACCCATTTCCGTCGGTCTGTCCGCTATTCCTTAGCCCGTCTATCACTTGAAAAGTACTGCTTGGATGTCGATTAATTTTCAGACAAGGTTTCTACTATGCCAAGGACGAAACGCTCGGTCCAGTTGCGGCGGAGCTAGAGGTAAAAAAACGAAAAAGAAAATCACTCAACCTTCGTTATTTGACGTTTTAAAGGCTCCTGAGTACTTTCAGAAAAGTTTTTGGAGTGATTAAAAATTAGGGGCTAGGGGATTGTAGAAGCATATATATGTATTAATTTCTTGGCGTTAGTATATTTATACGCATCTAACCCCGGTAATTCTACTCATATATAGATCAGCTATAGACTAGAAAATCTCCAAGAGCGAATTGGTACTAGGTCTTCATGGCACAAGCGATCTGTTTTTTTGTCAATAAGTTCTGAACTAGTACGTTACAGCAAACTGTAGAAACTGCACTACTCTTTTGTAAACTTCTTTCAACAGTATCTCCAATTCGTTTAATATTATTTTACTGATTCTGGATATCAGAGGAATAGTTCCATAATTTAGGATTGGTATTATCTATAAGCTTTAATGGTTTTAAGTTTCATGCCTACTGAAGCGGAAGGTCTCCACCCAATAATGGGATCAATCTGTCTCACGGTACTTCTTGCCTTTTGCAGGGTTTCTTTAATCAGCTCCTTGTAACAAAGACGCTTATCCAGTGCAGGATATTTAATTTTTGTTTTCAACTCAACTCTTACTAAGGCCAACCTTTAGCCATTTTCTATGTTTGTTTGTACAGCTAATAAGCATACATTCTGTTTTTGTTCTATTACACTTGAGGCCCCATTTCTGACAGTAATCTACGATGTCTCTAGCAGCCCATTCTGCTCGAATAACTGCCCGAACTTGATTGTTGGATCGATTAAGTACGCAGAGATCATCTAGTGCCTGCTATATCAGTGTTTCGACGGTCTGTCATATACACATTCAACAGCAATGGGCCCAAAATGCTGCCTTGAGGGACGCCAAATAGAGTTGTGTGTTCATCACTCACGTCATTTAACAGTTTACCTCGTATTTTTCTATTTTGGAGAGATATAAAACGAGTATTTGCAAAGATTTTCTGAACTACTAATTTGCGGAGTAGATAACCTTTTACAATACTATCCTTATTTTTATTGCTTAAGATGATTAGAATACAAAAACGCGAGTTCAATTTGAAAAAATTGAGTTTTGTTAATTTTACAATTCGATCTTCAACCGATTATTTTGACCACCTTGTATTAACAATTATCAAAAGTCCATTAAAGTAGACTCGCTTCTATCAGGCAGTAGTTACGAATCGTTCGACTAAGACAACACAAGAATATACGGAAAATCCATAGGCTTTTATGGACTTGCATTTGTGATTTCTTAGATAAAATTTCATATTTCTCAAAAAGGGTTAGAGTTAGATATAGGTCGTTATATCTGAAATGTGTATTCAAAACGTTGCGTAGAAAATTCAAAAATATATAATATACAGGGCGTTCCATTTAAAATAAGCGAGTTGAAAATGTTGAACATATTTCAGCCGAATTCCTCAAATAAGCTGTATCATAACCTCAAGTTTTCATAATTATCTAACATCAAATTTTCAAATATTTGATCGCTACAGTTCTACGTGGGGCATCCTGAATATAGAATTAAGGGTATAACTATGACTTAACAATGGACCACTTTATATAATCATATTTTCTGAATACATATATGCCAAATATGAAATATAGTAACTATAAACAGTTTCCTAAACTGCTATTGTCAGGAGCACAATTTGTGTACCTATTATAGTTTTATAATGTATGATGTCTCGTGCTATGTATAGCAGCCTTTTGTAGAGGCTGTAGTCCATTTTAAGTATATTTGACACAGACAGACCTAGTTATAATCAAAAGATATGCTTTTCACATCTTCGTACATGAGTGTCCTATTTTTAATAAAACAATAATGTATTCTGAAACTTTTTACATTCCAACTCTATTGCTGGGAGCACTCTACACCTATCACCTGGACCAAGATGGATACAAACTTGTATATAAATGAAATATGGACATAATACATCGAAACTTTACGCGTCATCCAGCGATCAGTGCAGTGTCATTACTGAGGCTGTCGCGCAGATTTTCGGTTTGCCATCTCTTTACGTCACATAAAACCTGAAGTATCGGCCATTCTAAATCTAAAATATAGTACGATCGCAAAGATTTACTCATTTTCATGAATGAATATATTCGCTGGTCTGGCGACTCTGAGTTGCGTAGTTCCTGACCCATCTTGTATACAGTTGGGAGTAAATGAGTGAACAAGTGTGATATATTTGAAAATATAGACAATGTTTATTATTATATAAAAAGGTCTAAATCAAATAATGCGAAATGTATAGGTTGTACATAAATGAAACCACGGCAAAATATATTTTATTCTATTGGTTTGTCATCAATTTACAGCATTCCCAAAAACGTATAATACGGCAGTTGTTGGACAGCCAATTCTAAAAAGACATTCCATTATTATTTATACTTTGGGTCCAGTCCGAAGACATCACTTTGTTTATTCACTATGTAGTCCGCCCCTGGAGTACGATCCGCGCACCAAGTTGAAAGACGAGAATCCCCACCTCCTCGCCGCGCCCTGGCCACTCGCGTTGAATCATTCGCTTTTTGGTGCGCGATCCGTGCAGTCGCCCGGCCTGCTTCAGTTCAGAAAACGCGTGCGATTTCTCTTTTCGGTACATAGTGCTCAGTGAGTAGGTAGGTAAGTTCACAACAAGGCTATTCTTTTTGATACCACTTAGCAGTCTGTTACATAATTGATTGGCGTATTCAACCAGATTGAATACGTTAACCAATGGTTATACTTGGTTAACAGAAACCATGGAAAAATCAGGAATTTCGGAGGCCAATTCACCCAGCTCCTTGAGAGACATGATTCGGGCCATTTTACAGGAGGAGCTCGAGGCAAGGTCAGGTGGTTATCGTTCTCGCACTAATTCGAGAAGTTTATCCCGAAAGAGTCGACACAGCAGATCCATGTCTCGTACCAATTCACCTCATCATTTTAGACGCTCCCGCTCTCGCATCAGCCGTAGGCGTTCAAGGTCACGTTCTAGGAGTAGTAACAGTCGCAGTCGATCACCGAGCGTGTCGAGGCGACGTAGAGAGAGACGGGAATATTTGCGTCAAGAGAAAAACTCAGGCAGCCCATCTGATAAGGTACAGCGTCAGGTAGACTCGGCTGGCCGTTCTCCGTGCGAGGCGGAAGCTCAGATTCTGACAGGGCCGGACTTGGGAACGGTACCAACTGAGAAAAATGATATGGAGGATGTTTTGATGCTTAGTGAAGGTGAGTGTCTCCCATTATCGGAAGACATATTAAATATCCTGGGTGTAGATCCTAAAAAAGCCAATAGGTCTAACTTCCAACTACACGGTGCCTTAGCTTCTCGATGGTCCCACATTTTGGCCAACGGACTTTCCACCGAGGACACCACCATCATTAGAGAAAAACACATTGTGCCTTCTAACTGTGCCTCTTTACACCCTCCGAAGATAAACCCCGAAGTGAAAGCCATTCTCTCTTCTACTCATTTAACGAGAGATGCCACCCATTCCGGGTACCAATTGAACATTGGTACCGGACTGACCGCCATGGGGAAAGCTTTTAACGTCATTTTGGAAGAAGAAACCCAGATTCCCAAGGATATCAAGGAAAAGATTTTATCGAATTTGACAGATTCTGCGCGAATCTTGGCGGCACTCTTTCACGACATCTCTAAAACTAGAAAGTACCTGATCAGCCCAGTACTCAACAAATCAGTTAAAGAACTGACTGAAAACACCTTACCAGGGGAGTTCTTATTCGGGCCAGATTTAGGTGAGCGGGCGAAAAATTTGAAATCTTTGGAGAAGGCCGGACAGGACCTACGTTTGTCCTCTATCCCCTCACGCAGTAGCTCTCAAGTGACTCGGTCTTTCAGTAATCCTGAAAGAAGAGGGGGGGGAGGCAACTCGTCAAAGAATGTAGGCGCTTTAAACAGGTATCGCCCGTCTTACCGCAAGAGGGAGGTGAGGCAGCACAAGGGCAATTCCTCAAAACAGTTTGCTCCGAACAGACAACAGCAGTCCAGAAAACGTTGAAGGTAAAACAAGTTCTATTTGCTGGTCGGCTACAATTTTACCTCAACTCTTGGTCAAAACTAACTTCAAATCCGATAGTCTTATCCTGGATTCAAGGTTACCGGATTCCCTTTAAATGCACACCTCCATTACGTCAACCTTTGGGCACAAATAATTTTTCTTCGACAGAAACATCGCTAGTTCGAGTAGCTATACGCGACTTGCAGAAGTCCGGGGCCATAATCAAATCTGAGTCAAGGCCCGATCAATTTATCTCTCCATATTTTCTTGCAGATAAATCCAACGGGGGAAAAAAGATTTATATTAAACCTGAAACAGTTAAATGAATATGTGGAATGCCCGCATTTCAAAATGGAGGACCTTCGTACGGCTATAAAATTGACTCATAAAAACGTGTACATGTGCACAATCGACTTGAGAGATGCGTATTTTTTAGTACCTGTCCACAGCGACCATCAACAATTTCTAAAATTCTACTTTGATGGCCAATTGTATCAATTCACTTGCCTACCGTTTGGGTTATGTACAGCTCCGTTATGTTTCACAAAGCTTATGAAGCCAGTCGTCTCTTTTCTCCGCAATTTAGGCATCTCTACAGTCAATTATTTAGACGATTTTCTAATCTTTGGAGTTTCCTATGAATCCTGCCTTAATAATGTTAGCACAACCATTCGGTTTTTAAGCTCATTGGGTCTTATCATCAATAACAGCAAAAGCATTCTGGTACCCACTACTCGTATAAGATTCCTCGGCTTTCTGATAGATAGTGTTAATTTAACAATTGAACTTCCTGCCGAAAAGAAAAATCACATCCTCAGGTTAGCCTCATATTATTTGAACCAATCGAGATGTAGAATTCGCGACTGGGCAAGGTTCATTGGCACCTTGGTGTCGGCTTGTCCTGGTGTGAAATACGGGTTTCTTTATTGCAAATCTCTAGAAAGGGAAAAATTCTTAGCTTTAGAGAAAAACAATGGAAATTATAACGCAAGTATGGCTATTCCTGAAAACATAAAGAGCGATATTTCATGGTGGAAAGATCACATTTCAACAGCTTTCAATGACATAAGGTATGATTCCTTTCATATCACCATCTTTACCGACGCATCGCTAACAGGATGGGGGGCTTGCTCTGGCCAGGATAGAACCCACGGTTTCTGGTCCGACTCCCAAAAACTATTGCATATAAATAATTTGGAATTATGGGCTATATTTTACGGCATCCAGTGTTATGCAAAACTTTTAAAAAAATTGCAATATCCTAATTCGATGCGACAATACAACAGCCGTTTCTTACATTAACAGAATGGGGAGTGTTCGGTTTCCAGAGCTATGTTCTCTGGCTAAACAAATTTGGCAATGGTGTGAGGAAAGAAATCTCTGGCTTTTTGCATCATACATCCCATCTAAAGATAACGCTATAGCAGACGATGAGTCCAGGAGCTTGAATTTTGAAACGGAATGGTCATTATCTCAAACTGCCTTCGACCATTTAACCGACATCTTCGGAAAACCAGAGATCGATCTTTTTGCCTCTCATACCAATGCGAAATGCGAGGTATACGCTTCCTGGCATAGAGATCCAGGATCTACATATATCGATGCGTTTACAATTCGCTGGAACAGTTTTTATTTTTATGCATTCCCCCCTTTTACCTTAATTCTCCGAGTTTTACAAAAAATAATTCAGGATAAGGCTGTCGGAATTTTGGTGGTTCCTTGGTGGCCTTCACAACCTTGGTACCCACTTTTCCGTCAGTTATTGATCGACCAAGAAATTCATTTTCCCCCTTCACCTGATTTACTATCTTGTGCGGTTTCCAGGTCACATCCGCTGTCGAAAACCCTTACCCTGGTAGCAGCGAAGTTATCAGGCAAGCGTTTTTGAGTAGAGAGGTGCCGGAATCTGCTATTTCTACAATCATCGCCTCAGTCTCCAGATCCACATTGCAGCAATATAACAGCTCCTACAAATTGTGGTGGGAATTTTGCTTTAGTAATGACATTTCGATCTTTAAACCCACAATCAAAGACGTGGTGTCATTCTTGCAAGAGTTGACAAAGAAGAAAAACCTCACGTCTGGCACTTTTAATTCTCATACATCTGCTCTTTCACTAATTTGCTCAACTGATTTAGCATCCAATCCTATAATTAGACGCTTCAAAAAAGGCATTCATCGTTTACGGCCTTCTCGGCCAAAATATTCGGCCACCTGGGATCCTATACCTCTCCTAAGTTATCTAGAAAAGTTACCATCTCCACTTAGCCTCCAAAGTCTGTCACAAAAATTGACAACGTTATTAGCTCTAATAACAGGAGAAAGACTCCAGACAATTTCTCTTATTCGTCTTTCACATACCTCCCATGGTCCCAGCGAAACTACCATTAATATTTCAGACCCAATTAAAACCAGTCGAATTGGGAAACCTCAACCAACCTTGCATATACCGGTTTTTCAACAAAACCCTTTCCTGTGCGTAGCCACCATCCTGAAGGAATATATTGACAGAACAGCTAGCTTGAGAGAACCCGACAACGATTTTCTATTCGTGACATATAAAAAACCACATACCAGGGCGTCCAAAGACACTTTAAGCAGATGGGTAAAACAGACTCTTGCATCGGCGGGTGTCAACACAACACTTTTTACGCCCCATTCAGTCAGGCATGCGGCTACCTCAACGGCGTTAAGAAAAGGCGTTTCCGTAGATAGTATATGTAAAACAGTTGGTTGGACGCAACATTCCACATTTGCAAAGTTTTATAATCGTCCTTTACAAACCAACAATGAGTTTGCAAATGCCATTTTGGACATAAATGCCTGATTAGTTAGAACAGTTTAAGAGTTTGTGACGTACTTTAGGTACTCTAGTTGTTTTTTGAAAAAATATTACTATTAGGGTAAATGTTAAAAATTGACCCCTTGTTTTTTGCTTTTGTTTATGAGAATGCAGAATATATGTTTTTGCCTTTTTGTGTTTGTATACTTGTATTTTTTATATCATCAACTCGCTCGCAACTCTATCTCATCTTTAAACATCTACATAGTGAATAAACAAAGTGATGTCTTCGGACTGGACCCAAAGTATAATTGATCGATCAAACGAACTTACCTGAAGTGAAGTTCGATCGTAATTATACGAGGGTCCAGTCCGAAGACATCACCCCCACCCTATATGCAACCCTCCCAAGTTGCGAGCAAGTACCATTTCTTTAAACAAATGATTCAACGCGAGTGGCCAGGGCGCGGCGAGGAGGTGGGGATTCTCGTCTTTCAACTTGGTGCGCGGATCGTACTCCAGGGGCGGACTACATAGTGAATAAACAAAGTGATGTCTTCGGACTGGACCCTCGTATAATTACGATCGAACTTCACTTCAGGTAAGTTCGTTTGATCGATCAATTATTCACTCAT